GACGAAACGGGACGCGCCGGCGCGTCCAGATAGCGCGAAAGTGTTAAGATGACTGAACAATTTTAGAGATATAGGGAAGTAATGATTGGAAAGAGGGACAGTGAGTGGAAAAAGCTATTAGTTAGAATTACCGAGACAGGTGAACATATTTCAAGAATAGACTTGAGAGGTATACGAGTGAGAAGACCAATTAACACTATCGGTCACCGGACAGGTGCACGGTCAACTTAGGGGTCGTGCACCCGACATGCTGGCGAGCGTGCGGGCAAGTGCGCGGTGACACCTAAATGTGTATACTGTAATCGTTTCAGTTTTCTCACCTTAATTCTCGTGCTATGTCGCTCGTTTTGGTATCATTGTGTTCGCAATTAAATTCCCAACAGATGTGTATGAATATAATGTACAAAAGTTTGGAGTGCCTCCCCGCAGAAAAGCCTAAAGTTACCCGTGAACAAGCACCAATTTGTACACTGCAACCTAATGTGTATACTCGTTCAGTTTGATAACATCAATTTTCGTGTTACGTCTTTCATTTTGGTATCAAATTGTTCGCAATAAAAAGGCGCGTATTTTAAAACTAGTCCCATAATAATAGAGCAATAACTGGAATTTTAACAAATATTTTCATTCTGGCAGCTCATCATCACAATATTATTTATATCTTTCCAGTGTTCTGACATAAATTTTTGTGTTACATCTTTCATTTTGGTATCAAATTGTTCGCGACGTAAAGGCGCGCATTTTAAAACTAGTCCCAAGATAATAGCATAATAAATAGAATTTTAACAAATATTTTAAAATTTTGACCAAAAGCCTATTTATAATCATATAAGTGTTCGGACATCAAGTTTCATGTTACATCTTTCATTTTGGTATCAAATTGTGCACATTCTAAAGGCGCTTATTTTGATATTATCCCGAGGTCGATTGGATAAAAAATTAATTTTATACAAATATTTTTTGTAGTGGTCCGGTCGAAAGTTAGGACTCAGGAGAAAAATAATGAACGCGAGTCCGGTCCAAAGTTACCGATAGTGTTAAAATGGCACTTGCCTAGCATAAGCTAACACCAGTGTCACACCAAGTACAGTGGAACCTTGGTCTACAAATGGACAGATGGTGGGAGGGGATCTTGATGGATGGATGGTGGGGGGAACTGGATGGATGGATGAGGACCCCCCATCCATCCAGTCCAGCCCCCAGCTCCCCATCCAACTGGATGGGGAGCTGGAAGGATGGATGGGGCGATGGATGGATGGGGGGATGGGGGGGATGGATGGTGGAGTGGGGGCTTTCTTGCAATGTAATTGTTATTTTATTAATTCTGCTAGAATTTACCTACTTAAAATTATCTGTTAGATTAAGGACCTGCCCGAAACGCTGCGCGTACTAGTGGCTTTACAAGATTGTAAATACTATGCTATGTATTCTCTCAAACCCAATGTACCTTCTTGTATATACTGTAAATAAATTAAATAAATAAATTGGGAGCTGCAGTAAAAATTCTAATCAAAACCCTAGAAATGGTCATTCTAACCTTTGACTTCAGCTAACATCCGTTTAGTAATTTTGTGTATTGGTTTTGAGTTATTGTCTGACAATATTTGTATAAATGTTGTATTTTAGTATAATATTGCACTTTGCAAATTTACAGTCCATGCCCAAAATTTCTTTGGGTATGGACAATATACAATAACATGTAGTGAAATGAGAAAATCAGTAGGAGCCATGAGAAGGAATAGAACCCGTTCACTTGGTACTCCCAAGCTAGTGCCCTTTACCACTACACCACAACATGGTATGTAGTGAAATAATATTCACTTTTGGCTGTTTAAATGGGGGCAGCTACTTACATGTCTGTGTCCCAGTGGATAGGCTCAGCAGCTGCTTAGGTGAACAATCACTGAAACAAAAATTTGCATGTTCCTCTGAACACTTTGCACCAAACACAGTTTGGACCATTCAGGATTTTGCTAGAGTATCTTACCGTGAGGTGTTTTTGGGGCTTAGCATCCTAGTGGCCCGGTCGTCAACCAGGCCTCCTGGTTGCTGGACTGGTCAACCAGACTGTTGGACGCGACTGCTCGCAGCTTGATGTAAGAGTCACAGCCTGGTTGATCAGGTATCCTTTGGAGGTATTTATCAAGTTCCCTCTTAAACACTGTGAGGGGTCGGCCTATGCCCCTTACATGTAATGGAAGCGTGTTGAACAGTCTCGGGCCTCTGGTGTTGATAGTTCTCTCTGAGTACCTATTGCACCTCTGCTCTTCAACGGGGGTACTCTGCACATCCTGCCACGCCTCCTTACAATGCTACCATACAACCATGAGTATGGTCGGCCGAGCGGACAGCACGCTGCACTTGTGATCCTGTGGTCCTGGGTTCGATCCCAGGCGCCGGCGAGAAACAATGGGCAGAGTTTCTTTCACCCTATGCCCCTGTTACCTAGCAGTAAAATAGGTACCTGGGTGTTAGTCAGCTGTCACAGGCTGCTTCCTGGGGGTGGAGGCCTGGTCGAGGACCGGGCTGCGGGAACACTAAAAAAAAAGAGCCCTGAAATCATCTCAAGATAACCTCAAGATGGTTCATTAACCCTTAACATGCTCGGGGTTTAATATCCTGCCATCCCCACAGGCGCAGGTCATTTTGAAAAAAAAAAAAATTATTTTTTCTTTCTAACCTGTTAATTTGTGTTCACTGATCACGGGAAAAATAATAAAAAAATCGTAAGTGGCATATATATCCCGCTATAGGGCGGGGAAGTCTGGCAAATTATAGGCGCTGACTCAGCGTGCGTCCCAGGCGGTCTGTTGCTCGCAAGCTGTCAGGCCAGAGTTGCCACAAAGAGATAATTACCGAATTATTTCAATGTCTCTGATTGATTTTTCATACTTTTTTTGCTATAATATTATTCAATAGTGTGTAGTTTGATATATTTATATAATAAAATGAGTGAATCGTTGGTGTATTCAAAAATATGGTGTGCATATTGTTGATTCAATTATGTTCATCAATCAGTGAACAAATACTTTGTCGGTTATTACACTATAAGCACAGGTTATATATAAGTATTTGCATGTTTTGTTCACTATAATGAACCGCTAAGTAGCTATTATGAGTCAAAAAGTAACGAGGAGTGACCGCCGTGTACCAGCCAGCCACTCCCGCCCTCCCTCCAGTCATCTGACTCACCCTCATTCTCCTCCCACAATAATGTTTTTGCTCTAATTCACTATATACAGACGTTATATATAAGTATCTACATGTTTTGTTCACCATAACTGTACATCTAAGCTTGTATGGTGAGTAAAGGCACAGAGATGTGGCTACTCACACAGTCAGCTGATCGGCGGCCGCCCTCAAGGCCAGACGCACTAATATTTCTTCTCCAACAATACTGTGTGGTGTTATTACGCTATATACACACATTATATATAAATATCTACCTGTTTTATTCATCATACTTGTACAAATAAACTGGTATGGTGCCCAAAGACCATCGTGGTAACCAGTAAACAACACCGTCGTCTGCATGGTGGTGTTGTGCAGACGACGCCACCGCCCTCACCAAAATGGCGGCTCCAAACCTTCTCTTGCTGTTTATACCCTCTATACGCACGTTATATATAAGTGTCTACATTTGTGTTCACCATAACGAACCACTAAGCTGGTATGGTGAGTGCAGTCAATAAAAGGTGGCCACACACAGTCAAAAGACATCGACACCACCCTCCCTCTCACAGCATTACACCTCCTTCCATGGCGCACAGCGCTAAATATCACCACAATCCTGCTATTATCAGAACCCTGGTCAGTTTTATCACAGTCAGGGGTCTTCTGTAATAATATCGCTACATAATAGCATGAACAAGTATAATTTGGCATTTTTAGGCGATGCTGTGGTCACAAGCTGAACAGCAGTGCTGTTAGCTCATGCTGCGTGCGTCAGGCTTGGTTGCTCACTCAATACTGAGGCCAATAACACCCGGGAGTTTGGCCCACGATTTTTTTTTTAAATGGCGTCTGTTTATAAGAGCCCTGATGAAGGTGTGGTGAACCCCGTGTATCCGCGGGTTGTTTAAATCTTGCATAGTACTCCAACACATCATATGACGTGATGCGCAGTTTACTGGAACAACGTCCAGCACGTCATATGACGTGATGCGCACTTTAAGGGTTAAAGTGAAGGAGTATGGTTCATTAGAGTGAAGACCCATTTTATCCATAAAATTGTTTGAAAAAACAGTATCATAAACCAAAGGTAAACCAGTAGAGTATTTTACATTGGAAGTCGAAACTTCTATCGAAACCAAAATTTTAAAGGATTGCATTCCATTTGATCAAGAGTGCAGTCCATAATAATTTTTTTTTAATTATTGTACATCTGCAACCCCCATAGAGGTACTTGAGGTTATCTTTTGATGATTTTGGGGCTTAGCGTTCCCACGGCCCGGTCCTCGACCAAGCCTCCTTTTTGTTACACACCCCCAGGAAGCAGCCCGTAGCAGCTGTCTAACTCCCAGGTACCTATTTACTGCTAGGTAACGGGGGCATCAGGGTGAAAGAAACATTTTGCCCATTTGTCTCCGCCTCCACCGAGGATCGAACCCAGAACCTCAGGACCACGAATCCAAAGCGCTGTCCACCCAGCTGTCAGGCGCCCAGCTGTTAGCATTAGGTACCCTCTACCTTGCAATCAAAGAAATTACTGTACAGTACCCGTTCTGCAGTTTTTATATTAAATTGACAAATTTAAAAAAAAAGGGTAGTCAATGAAGGGCATGATTACCACATGATTTTATAAATATAAAATGTAGTTGAAATTGGTTCTGAGAATAATCTAGTCAATTGTAGTTTAACATTCATGACGTAATCAGAATTGTCAAATAATTGCTTGTGATTAAGACATTAAAAGGGCTACAAGACTGCTTTTCAATAAGCATCTTTAATTGGAAACATTTTGTTATTAGTAAAGCACAATGTGATTTTATATTTTTCAGAGTGCGAAAATAAAACCTTCAAGATGCCTCTATTTTGCCGATACTACGCACAGAAGTATCCCGAGGTGGATGATGTAGTAATGGTAACTGTTAGAAGCATAGCTGAGATGGGGGCCTATGTTCATTTGCTTGAGTACAACAACATAGAGGGTATGATCCTCTTGTCAGAGCTCTCTCGACGACGAATCCGATCCATGAATAAATTGATCAGGGTGGGCAAGACGGAACCAGTTGTAGTCATCAGAGTGGACAAGGAGAAAGGTAGGCCTTACTTTATTTATAGCAGTATTTCTTTAGATTATCATAAAAAGTAGTTTCTTTAAGTACAAAGTTCTTTAAGGGAAGAACTTTAGTATTATTGTCATCTTCATGTTTTATTGAAAAGTTTCTAACAACTTTAATGTTTTTGGTATGTTTGTCAGTTTTGTTTACTTTAGGAACAGTTGTGTTCAGTTTTGTACTTCTAGAGAAAGACTTCAAGAGAAAACTAGATTGTTTTCTTCAAGGAGTGCCAGACCAACCAGGCTGTGGTGGGTATGTAGGCCTGCGGATCGCTCCAAGCAACAGCCTGGTGGACCAAACTCTCACAAGTCAAGCCTGGCCTCGGGCCGTGCTTGTGGAGTAGAACATCATCCAGAACCCCATCAAGCAGGTTAGTTGTGGGACATCAGGCTTACAGGTTTCGTTGCCTTACATTCGGCTTGAATTTGGTGCCTTGTGTGTTCACACGCCTTACCCAGGTTGTGGTGGCCCGTCTGCATCTCTTAGGAGGTTCGGGTTCTGGCCTACCTCGACGACTGGCTGGTGTGGGCTCCCAGCCAGTCCGTGTGTCTGTTCGCCTGGGTATTTGGTTCTTTCTCAGCTCGCCGGGTTCGGGTTCTTGGTAAACTGGAGGAAGTCCCATTTAGTGCTCTCTCGGGTTCGGACTTGGCTGGGTCTTGTGTGGGACTCTCGGACCGCTTCCTTGTCTCCTTCTGGAGGTTCTGCTGTGGCTGTGGTCTCACCTTCAGTGGTTTCTGGAGGGCTCCCAGGTCACAAGGAGGTTGCTCGAGGGTTTACGCGGGAGTCTGAACTGTGCTGTGTTGGTCGTTGGCCAGGCTTGGCTTCATCGGCTGTTCTGGTTCCTTCGGGGGACGTCCCTTCCGCCTCTCTCGCGATCGCTGGGTCCTTACGTATGCCGCTGCGTCGCCGGCTTCCTTTTTCTGATTTTTCGGGATTCATTGCCTTGGCACCTACCCGAGCCCTCGCTTGATGTGTGCACGGACACGTTGTCTCTTGGCTGTGGCTTTGAGACCAGTGCTCACAGGGCGGCCAGGGGCGGTGGGGCTTGTCCATCCGTCGGGTCCACTGCATGGTGCGGGAGTTAGCGACCATGTAGATGTTACTTCGGAGGGTTCACGTTGCTCGAGGTTCGACAATCCGGCTCCATTCGGAATGCTCCCCGGTGGTTCGTTGCCTAAACCACGGGGGTTTGATGCGGTACTTGGTTCTTTGGGGCTGATTGCTTCAGGTGATTTGTCTGCCGAGTTCTTGGGTTTGGCTCCCCTGGCCTTTCACGATCAGGGGGTGTCCAATGTCCTGACGGACGGTCTGTCACGGTTTATACCCTCGTCCACGGAATGGACGGTTGATGTAGACCCGTTCAGCTGGCTCTGCCGGACGTATGGGCTCCTGGAGGTGGACCTCTTCACGTCGGCGTGGTCGAGGCGTTTCCCGAATTATGTGGTGCCCTTCCCTGACTGCAAAGTTGTCGGGGTCTATGCCTTCAGGCAGGACTGATTGAGGTGGGATTAGCTGTACTTCTTCTCCCCTGGTTCTGCTGTTCTGACTAGCTTGGAGACTTACCAAGGGAGAGTAGTCCTGTTGGCCTCTTGGTGACCAGCCCAGCGTTGGTTTTAGGTGTTGCTTGCTCGGTGTCCGAACCTGGGGGATCTTTCTGCAGCTCCGCCTCTTTCAGCAGATCGAGCCAGTCCGTTATGTAGCTGGTTCGATCTTCTCAAATCTTCTCATCTGGTCTTTCTGATACGGGTTTATCACCTTTTGTATGGTGAGCAGGTGGCTTTGTGGATGGCGTCCCACCTTCGTACTTCGTCTCGGTGGCAGTATGCAGTTTCCTGGCGGTCCTTTCATGATTTCTTGTCCCTCAGTAGGTTTTCTTCAGTTTTGGATTGGGTTGTCTTGTCCTTCCTATCTTGGTTGTTTCAGTTGTCATTGTATGCCAAATACCGTCACCTCATATCGTGCGGGCGCTGGCGGAGCTTCAGCTTGCGTTCGGGGTGGGCATTACTTCTGCTCCGTTCCTCAAGCTGTCTCGTGCGTTGTTTCACCTCCGGCCTACTCATGTGCCGCCTGAGCCGTCCTGGGTGCCAAGCTGGTCATTGAACTGGGTGTTTTGGATTGGATTGGACTATTCTCCTATGTTTGTGATGGCCCCTTCAGTTCAAGATTTTTTCTAAGGCTCTTTTATTCCTGTTGGCATTGGCTTCTGGGGGTTAGGTTGGGGAGCATCATGCTCTCCAGGTGCAGAGGTTTCTTCTCCTTTGGTCCTTGTGGTAGGTTTGCTTGTTTACAGCCATCTTCTTTTCTGTCGAAGAATGAGACCGCTGCTTTCCACAGGGGTCCTTTGGTTATTGATGCCTGGTTTGTTCAGCTGGGGGTGCATCACGTGTTGTCCGGTTGCGGCTCTTCGCCGTTACCTGTGCGCCACGCCCTCAGTGGCCGGGGCCATGCTTTGGGTTGACCCTGTTTCCCTTCTTTCCTGTTCCAGGGTTCGGTCTCCCAGATTGTCCGCAGGGTTATTAGGTCCAGTCAGCCTGCGATCTGTCCTTGTGCCCATGACGTTTGTATGTTTGCTGCATTGGCTACCATCTTCGGTAATATGTCTTGGGCTGACATTTGGGCATGGGGTTTTTGGAGGTCAAACAGGGTCCTGGCCACTCGCTACACTACCTAGTTAATGTTCCTGGCCCTCATCGGGCGTGTGCTGCATTGGGTCGGCGGTCGCAGCCAGTTGTCTCGAATTCAAGTTAAGGAGCAAGTGGCAACCGCCTCCTGGGTAAGTCCCTCTTGTTTTATCTTTGGTTAAGTAGTTATGGGGAGCTGAAGGGGGGGGGGGATTCCCCCAGAAAACCAGCGTTGAATGTAATGAAACTATTTTCTGGGCGAGACTCAGTCTCCCTCCCTCCGGTTGGCAGTTTTGACATCTAGCCTCTGAACTGGGGATTGGATAGCCAGTGAGGGGGGGGTCTGGAGCTCCCTCTTCCCCCTCCTAGAGAGGGGGGAGCTGTGCAGACAGCGGCACGGTGACGGTTGTGCTGTCATGCCCGTTTGCTCGTTTTTAGTTTGGGGAGTTCTGTCCAACAGTTCAACTTTTAGGTAGCAAATTTTTAACCCGACATGGTTTGTTTCAGGGCGCCTATATTTCTGGGTGCCTGACCTGGTCGATGGCAGATATAGAAGGCTTCCAACCACACGGGGGGTTCTATAGGCCATTGCTCCTTGTGCCTCTCTGAGGAGGCCAGGTTCTGACTTGTGGTACCCAGTAGGCCTAGAACTCCATTCGCTTGACTAATGCTACGGTTTAATACATTAATATCGGCCTGGATAGCTCCGGGTCTCGGCCAGAAAATGGCGTCTCATTACATTTAACGCTGGTTTTTAACACCATTCCTGTATTTCGGCTGCCACTCCCTCATTAAACCCCTAATATCTCGGGACACTTATTTTTTTCTGAAAAACACTTCAGTTGTTTTCTGAGCAATCGACCAGGTTAACCCCTAGCCAGTGCTATAGCCCTTACAGTGGCTATTGCAAAATGGTTAATCCTGCCTATGTGCAAAAAATTAAATAATTTAAAAAAAAATGTAATTGTAGAATTAATGTGTATGCAGAATTTAAGAAACTTTAAAATAAGTTAAGTTTCTTCCTTACTGGGTGGAGGCATTCTGAAATGTTGCACGGTTGCTATATGGGCTGGTGTTTGTCAACACACGATGCCCAAGTTTGTTGACACTGAGGTGTGCGAGACATGACTCCTGTCTTCTCCTTGGTTGTTTCTCTGTTTATCACTTGTATCCCTCTAGTTTCAAGAGTATGCATGATTGATAACATAGTAAATTACATAATTCACATAACACATGATAATGTTTAGATTGATAATTGGTTTACCGGGTATACTTCATTACAACCCTATAGAGTAGCGAAAAGGATATGAACATAATATATACAGTATTGGTGTTGGGCTCTGGGCGATGACTTGTGGCCTAATGTGCACTATATGGGCGAGAGTATAGCCACCACAAATGATAATGGACTCTTAGTACATGTAACACATGTACTAAGTACATGTTACTTAGTACATGTAACACATGTACTAAGCTAGAAAGCTTGTTACCCTAAAAGCTTGTACTCCATTAGAAAGGTGGGGTCCAAAAGCTAATAGCACAATTTTGCTGATACAAATAGTAAATACATAATAATGGTGTAATTGATGATTAGTTTACAAGGTATACAGAGCACCACTTGGTTCCCGAACTTTAGTTATCCGAAACTTCCAGTTTCCCGATTGGGGTTGGGGAGTCACGCTACACGTCAGGCTGCGAGCAGCCGCGTCTAACAGCCTGGTTGATCAGTCCAGCAACCAGGAGGCCTGGTCGACGACCGGGCCGCGGGGACACTAAGCCCCGGAAGCACCTCAAGGTAGCCTCAAGGTAGGTACACGAACTAAGTTCGGGTAGGAAGCAGTCCACCAAGCTTCACGCCGGCCGGGGTTGAGGTTACCCTACACAAACCAAGTTCGGGTGAGGAAGTGGTCTACCAAGCGTCGCGCTGGCCCGTGGTGGTGGGTGGGTAGGTGGGAGATGGTTTAGTTTGCCCACTGACCGTGTCGGGCGCCACCACTCTGGTGCCTGCTACCCTGTGACGTCACAGATTCACAGCCTATTGTTTTCATTGTTTGAATTTGTCACGAGACTGAAGTGTTCATTCCGTGACTTTGTTTTACATATCAGCAGAATCAAGGAACATCCGTGCACCATGTCGACTCCAAATGCACGCATTGTCAGTGAAAGCATCAACAAGCGGGTTACGTAAAAGAAAGAGGTCAGTGATGACATTTGAGAAGAAAGTTGAAATAATTAAGAAGGTGGAGAGCGGTGTCCCGAAAAGTGTCGTGTGCGCTGAATATGGCATTAGTAAAAGTACTGTTTTTGATCTTCTTAAGGCTAAACCTATCATTTTTTATTATTTCTCTAGAAGTGAAA